TGCCGGCCCCCGAGCCCCGGTGGGGGGGGGGGGGGGGGGACACTGGCCTCCAGCCTGCCTCCCTCTGCCAAGGGGCCGGGGTCCTCGGAGCGGCCTTCGAGGCACTGCCCAGCAAGATGGGCTGCTTTTCAGTAGGGAAGGCCGCTCCTCTCCCGGGCAGCAGGGGCTCCAGGGCTCTCCCGGCCAGGCTCACTGCCTCCCTCTCGCCGCTTCCAGGGCCGGAGGCACCACACCGCCTTTCTAAGAGCGGGTATTGAAGCCTGCAGGGCCCTGGGGAGGGGAAGGAGCAGGACTCTGCCCTTCCCCATGGACAAGGTGGTGGAGCAGATCAAGGTGAGACTCTCCGTGACCCCTGGGGGCGGGTGGGACATCCCAGGACTAGATTTGGGGGACGGGATTTAGCTCTTTCTTGACCTGCTGTTTAATTGCTTCTTCCTCTCTTGTGCTTATGGCAGACTAAGACCTCACTGATTTTGCACTTAGATGGCCCTGGAAACTCTTGGGGGAAAGGCAGAGGGGATCCCATAGAGCCATTCCCAGGACTTGAGTACACATCTTGGGGATGCCAAAGAGCCCAGAGTCCGTGGGAGGGGGTCTGAGAGTGGGAGGAAGGAGGAGACGTGGGGCTAGAGTCGCCTCTGCCCGAGTCCAAGGACTGCTGACCTCCTGTCTTTGGCCCCCCTCCGTCTCTCCCAGGACATCATGATGGACTCCTTTTTTGGGGTCAAGCCCCAATTTGTTGTGGCCATGAGGGCCATGGAGGAGCTGAGGTAGGTCTTTGGCTGTGGGACCCTTCGTGCCCAGCAGTCCGAGGGGGGGCGCTCTGGGGGGAGAGGGCAGAGCCGCCCACAGGACGAAGAGCAGAAGCGGCCAAAGGGGGAGGTGCCAGGCAGGGGCCGGGGGCTCCCAGAGGTCATTGCTGCCGCCTGCCTCACCCCAGGGAGATGTGGCCAGAGCGCCTGAGGGCTGGACCCCCTCCTCCAACTGGGAGGGGGTTCTCTCTCAGGCCGCTCCATGCTGGGGTGTTGGTCAGTTCTTGGCCTGAGGGGGCAGTGGGGCTGGCTCAGTGGGTGCTTCCTGAGGGCTGGGTGAGTAGCCCCTCCCTCCCAGCAGGGAGTCTAATCCTGGCCCTTCCGTCCTGCCAGCATATTCCAGCCGCTGCTCAGTCCGGAGCTGAGGACCTCCACCGTGGCCTGGGCTCTGGGGCTGGTCCTCAGCGGGAGCCCAGGCCACGAGGACCCCAACAGCCAGGTACATTGAATGCCAGTTGCCCCGTCGAGAGTGTGGCAAACACACCTGCCGATCCAGTCTCCTCTGGACAGCTGAAGCGAAGTTGTGGGGAGAGCTGTGTTTCTCCCCACCCCCCAAACACCAGCTCTCAGTCTCTCTTCTTTCCAGGCTCTGTGGCAGCAAGGAGAGGAGGACCTCCGCCGGATGCTCCTAGCTCTGCTAAAGGAGGATCCATTGGCAGGCCACTTGGTCACCCTGCTTGATGTAAGTGCCTGGGAGAGGAGGAGGTGGATGTCGATCCCATGGGAGGCCGGGAGCAAATGGGAGGCCAGTGGGGAGAAAATATCCCCTCAGGAGGGTTAGCAGAAATGCTCCCACCCCCCTGCCCGATGGAGCTCCTCATCCATCGGCCACCATAGAAGCCCATGCCAGAAGTCTCGCATTCAGCAGTGTCAGAGCAACTTGCCTCTCACCTGGAGAAAGGACATGACCAAAGAGCCTCCCAACCAAGAGCAGTGCGAGCAACTTGCCCTGTGGGGGGTTTGGGAGCCATGCCCTACCTACATTGTGAGGCAGTGCAGTCCAGGGTACAGAGGAAACTGGCCCCAGTTTCTGGCTGGCAGAGAGTCCTCAAGAGTATTTCCCTTTCGCCCCAGGGAGTCCTTGTCCAGGAAAGGACCAGCCAGGCAGGGAGGCGACTGGCCCAGTCTCTCTGTCCCTGAGGGCACAAGATCAGGATGGACGCAGTCAGCAACCCCACAGGAGCAGAGCCCTTTTCAGAACGGGAGGGACCAACCCTGCAGAGGAACAAAGGGCCACCAGTCTGGCAAGGGGGCTGTGCCGTGTGCTGGCTGCAGATATTAAGAACAGCTAAAGGGCCGCTTCCTTGCACAGCAAATCCTCTACTGGCTGAGGGTGAAGTGGCCTGCCCCCAGAGCCAGGGCATGATCCGGCTTAATGGCCTCCCTCCTGCAGGATGCCACCAGGCTGCCTTCCTTCCGCTCTGGATAGGTGGTGAAATGCTGCGAACTGTCTGAAGTTCGTGTCACTGGGTGAACGACACGAAATCCGTCTTGGGAGGAGATCGTCGCTACGGCTTCCCCCTCGCCCTGCTGGAGAATGAGATCTCTCCCGCCTCCAAAGCCACCGATGGGAGTGGCTCCTTGAATGCCGGGGGGTGGGGAGGAAGCCAGGGCAAGCCCAGCTGGGCCATTGTGAGCCAAGTCACAGGCCTCCTTTGTGACATCACCGACCTGCCGGTCCTCTGGGCCACGCCTCCCCTGGGGGGCTTTGTGGGTTTGAGAGTGGCGGTGAAGGAAGAGGTGGAGAGGAGATACAAGTGTTTTTGAGTTATTTACATATATATCTATATATCTATATATCTATATCTATCTATATCTATCTATATCTA